AAAAAGGAGGATTTTCCAGTTTTCGGACAATTACTCAAGAATCCTTTCATCAACTTGCAAGAAATTGTGGTGAACTGTTTACATCTATTGGCATGGGCTCCCTTTCCATTTTTATAAATCTAAGCTTTTACGTTTCCTAGTTACAGTGTTTTATTCATAAAAAAAAGGGGGTATTCCAGTTTTCGGACAAAAACTAAAAATGCTTTCAGCAGTTCTTATGAAACTTTGGTGAATTGTTTGTATCTATTGATGTAAGCTCCCTTTAGAATTTTATAAATTTTACATTTTACATTTCTGAGTTATGGGGTTTTATTCATTAAAAATGGGGAGATTTTCCATTTTTAGACAATAACTCAAAAATGCTGTCAGCAATTCTCATGAAACTTCGGTGAATTGTTTATATTTATTGATGTAAGCTCCCTTTTGATTTTCATAAATTTCTAATATGACATTGAGAATTAATTAAACTTTATTTGTTTATGGTCTGACAACAGATTTACTAAGTATTGCGAAACAGCACAGTGTATTGTACAACAGCAAGAAAGTTGAAGAAATCTTTAATAAATTAAATTCATATAACCAATTTCAAGTTCTTTGACTACATTTATTCAGAAACGTATAATATGTCAAATATTTAATTACAATCCAAATTCAGATCTGTATCAAGCTTGAATATTGTGTCCATTTTTGCCCCAACTGTTCAAGGTTGGACCTCTGCGGGCGTATCCAGCTGCGCTCAGCGCAACAGTTTATTAATATTAGTATACGTGGTAAAACTTTTGCAAATTTATTTTCTCATTAAAGATGAAACATTTGGCCCTTTACATATATTCTGAAATACATTTAAATATATTTTATTTTATTCTCTACATAATAGTTTTTGATTAAATAAACGTGTTAGGATGGCTATATAGGACAATCGCAGTTAGGACTGTCCTAAGATAGCTTCGTTTTACATTCTAAAACACGTCCTAAGATCATCCTAAATAATGTCCTAAATCATATCTTAGGATATATTCCATGAGACTTTCATTGAAATGGCCTCTGAATTTTCTAGTGCAATTCCGAATACCAATATCTACTAGTAGAAATAAGAATTCTAAAATATTTTAATTAGAATCCAGTACAAAACAAAACAGATATCGATTGTACCAAAATTCAAATTCTGCTGGCCGAATCAAGAAATTAAAAAAGAAATATTCAGAGTACTGTCAAATATGACGACGAATTATATACAGTCAACCAAAAGTTAAGCTCCACCTAAATATAACTGGCAATATTTTTTTAACTATTGCGAAACAAATATTTATGTTTGGTGTTATGAATTGCCTATAACATACACTAAGAAAATTCATTACGACAAAAAAAAAATAAACTCCGATAAACTCGCCAAGCATTTTTTTATTCAAGGTCATCTGCACTTTTTCGAATACACTGTTTCGATGCCTTTAAATCATCTACCTACTGTCCCACGTACAGATGAAATTTGACCTTCACCAAATCACTGTGAAATATGGCAAGGGGTAAGTTATATGTGACTGAACCATGACAATCAATTGACATGTCAAATGCTGGTAGGAGCACTAGTTGCATAGGTAACCATTTCAATGTTAAACACACCGTCATTGTTAGATTTTTACAACGCCATGTTGACACAGGAACTGTAAATGATAGATAAAGGTCCGGAAGACCCCGTTTAACTACCGATCGTGATAACAGACTCCTTATTGGTTGTGCTAAAGCCAACCCATTTACTCCTGCCTCACAACTTAGACATCACTAGCGTCCAGGTGGTCATGTTAGTGTTCGAACATTGGTCCGTCGACTTCATAGAGGCTACCTAAGAGCACGTCGTGTTGTCAAGAGAACTGCCGTAACAGCCAGGCACCGTATAATCATGTTTCAAAGGGCTAATGACCATCGACGATGGAACATGAGAAGCTGGCAAAATGTTCATTGGTCAAATGAGAGTCGGTTTCTGTTACGACCAATAGACTGCATAATACGAGTTTGTAGTGGAAATAAAACTGCTAATGACCAAACAACATTTGCCCAACGACTGCATACGTTGCTGGTGGCGTTACAGTATGGGGGTTTCTTCTCATACTGCTGTAAGGTGGTAGATATAAAAAAGAAGATGTGGTATGATTGCCAATGAGACAACTCTCCACAAGAGACCAAATGACACAGAAATTAACAACTATAGGTCACCGTACGGCCTTCAACAATGAGCAAAGCCCATACCACACAGTCAGCTATAAAAGGCCCCGAAATGACAATGTAAAACAATTCAAACGAGAAAACTAACGGCCTAATTTATGTACAAAAAATGAACGAAAAACAAATATGTAACACATAAACAAACGACAATCACTGAATTACAGGCTCCTGATTTGGGACAGGCACAATGCATATTCTGCATGGTAACATGAACGGACAGACATACAGGGATTTGGTGCTTAGAAACATTGTAGTCCCTCATTTTGATAATCCTCCACTTGCTTCAAGACCCTTGTGCATGTACGACAATGCTAGCCCACACAAGGCAAGGATTGTAACCAAGTACAAAGAGTAGAAAGAGCAAGAAGCCGTTGACACTATCGTTTGGCCTTCCATGTCTCCAGACATGAACCCTATCGAACATGTCTGGGATGCCATTGGCAGAAATCTCAATCGCAGAGATCCACATTTGCAAAATCTTAGCGATTTAAGAAGCGCAATTGTTGCTGAATGGAATAAATGTGATCAACTAAAGTTCAGAATACTTGTACAGATTATGAGACTCCGTGTTATGGAACTGTACCGGAAGAGAGGGTGTTACACATCCTATTGACTCAAATATTGACATTAAATTTGCCGAAGATACCAAAGATTATTTGTGGAGACTTTTAATGATATTGGGTAATCAATTTTTGTAAAAAAATAAAATCACAGTGAACCTTAAATTTCGTTTCTGATTTGAATAATTTTCACTATTTCTATGAACGCAAATTTCAAATGCATAGAACCTACATACGTTAACAAACTCAAGTCTACGGTTTGTTTATGGTATATGTTAGCAAAATTGCTACATAAATATTTTCTCCTTTTCGAGGATTAACTGATTTTTTTAAATGAAAAAAATTTCGATGCAATAAAAATAGGTGGTGCTCAACTTTTGGCGGACTGTATATTTAGAAAAGAAAAGGGATAGTATCTGCACAAAAATAAATTCTTCAAATACTGATTACCAAAGAACAGTTGAAGAAAATCCTCCTGTTAACTTAAAGTATTATCTTATGACCTACAATTTAAAACAATTGGCCCACTGTGTCTGTATTACACAAAGCAGGGTTCATAGTGAAATCACAAATTTATCGTGACTTTTAGGACTACCCTAAGTCCATCCAAAAACACTTGTGTATAAATATACATATTCTAGCTGTAGTACCATATCTGTAATATGTCTTATCTTTGGAGATTTCCATTCTCTATCTTATTTCTTTAACATGACGACTAAGGCGTGTCCTAAGACCAGCACAATAGACGTCCTTGTCATAAGAAAGGTCTATTTCTCAGATACTCAGATACTATAAGCAATAGGGACGCCATGTTTGGTGTATGAAATGATTGTTAGATGTATATGTCTGACTGGCTGGTTTCGTCTGACCTCGAACTCATTTTCATGGTTCATTGAACAATGTTTAGTTTTTTGTGAATAGGTCAGTTTATCAGTTACTATAAACAATAGGCTATTTATAATTGGTGTATGGAATGATTGTAAGGTGTTCATGTCTGTCTGGCAGGGTTTGTACTACCTTGACCTCATGTTCATGCTTCATTGGTCAATGTTAAGATTAAGTGGTTTGAATCTCGGGTACTATAAGCGTTATGACAACTATATTTGGTTTATGGAATGACTGTACGGTGTAAATATCTGTCTGGCAAAGTTAATTAAACCGTGACTTCATTTTCATGGATCATTGACAGTGTTAATTATATATGATACTTGTAGTAAAACCTTCAATTCGCATACTTTCAAAATGATTTCAACCAAATGTAAACCAGATGAGACATTAGAGCATGTGCACTATTGTTATAGTTTGTTCTTATGTTGTACTGTTACAGCACTGTCCTATGTTAGGAGAGGGCTGACGCCTGTCTCAAGTAAGGAGAAGCCTGTAGTTCTGTAGTTGTAGTTGTATATTTGTAAATCGTAAATTATTTTGTTATAAATTAGGTCGTTAGTTTTCTCACTTGAATCATTTCAAATTTTACAAGATATAAGGTAAGAGCTTTTCTTCATTGTTGAAGGCCGTACGGTTGCTTTTTTCCACTTCATTTTAACTTTGGTGGATCTATGTCTCATTGACAATCAAACCACATCTCTTTCTTCTTACAGGGTATGTTATATGTGTTTAATAATGATATAATGTTATTGGTGAGAAATACAATCATGTACCCTTACTGATTCGATGGCAATTATATCAAAGTAACAAAATAATCAGAAATCAACACAATTCAGAATACTATGAAAACAATCCCAGGGCAGCAAAAATAAAAACAGATAATCTCAATACAGGTATTCAAAAAAGTATCTTTATTCGGTTCAAAGTTAGTTAAAAGTATGATAACTTATATTGTTTTATTAAAATAATAACATATTCAATTTTAGAATTATGTTTATATATCTACAAACAATGATCTATGATCACCTGGTATAAACGTGACTATATGTTGTATAGGTCTACCTCTTTGTTCACAAATGACCTTTTTTTTAATGCAACTTGTTCGATTTCTTACTGTTTTAAAATAAAATCATAAAATATAAATCGTAAGGGAACATGGCATTGTTATTTTTGGGTCATTGGAACTGACCTTTTTGTCTTAAGATGTGAGAACAGATACTTTTTCTTTTAAGTTAGCCTGGCCTCAGGCGGTCAACGGAAATTAAATGGTGTATGTATGTAGCAAGTATTTCAAATTACAGAATTCTGAAACAGATGATAATTAGCTGAAAACTGTCAAACAAAAGGGTCTGCTTTTCTATCCGAAAAACAAGTCTTTCATCTGATAAGAAATGCCAAGAGTATAATTATCGTTGTAACACTACACAGTTGGATGCTTTACATCTCGAAGATAAATCTTAATCCAGATTATGAACCATATGGGTTACTTACTGTCACACGCGGTGGTTTATTTATATATTTAGCGTTTGTCTCCCGCCACAGCATAGCACACGGTTCATTTTGTTAACCCTGTACACATCTTAACTTTCACTTGGATTTCTACAGTTTATTTTCTTGAAGGTACGTATAAGCTAAGTATGTGTGGCAAGATTCGCATTCATGAACTTTTAAAAATAATATTAAAAGTGATATTTCAAGATTTAGATAATTAAAATTTGAATAAATAGATATAAATATAAACAAATACATGCATTTTATAATAATAATAATAATAATAATAATAATAATAATAATAATATAATAATAATAATAATAATAATAATAATGATAATAATAATAAGAATAAAAACAACATTATGATAATAGTAATAATAATAAAAACAACATTATGATAATGATAATGAAATTATCATAATAATAAACTTTAAAATAATATTAAATATGTGGTTATAATCCTAAAAAAATATGATAATTATCAATATTATTAATATCATATTATAATAAACAATAACAATATTAATCCTGCTAAATATATTTATACAATGTAGTATTGATAATGATGATGACGAACAAATGTTTATTAATAGTATTTTATAGTTAAGATCGGGAATGTTATATTAATTAAATTTACGGGTTTCTTTTCGTTTCTGAATTTTAAGTTTCAGTTCCGTTTACAATCCGCTTGAAATATTTTTTAAATTGTTAACTTTTTCGCATAATAAAACTGGCACCACTGTAAATAGATTCAAATACATATATTCATTCTCATCCTTTTTTTTAGGCAGATAGGGAAGTCATATTTTTTTTTAATTTTTGACTTTTATTTCTTTCACATGTTTTTTTGTTTTTGTTTATTTCTAGTATCATGTACACTACTTAAAATACATTGAAACGTTTTTTTTTAATGTTATATAATTATATGCGGCTAAACATCAACGATATTATTCTGGAAAACTAGGTTGACGATCATTTGATAATTTAATGTGAAAAGGAGGTGCGGATTGGATATTCGCTTCCATATGCATTAAGAGGCTACATGTGCTATTTTTTATTCGCATTTTGTGTTGCAGAATTTTCATTCCTATCCTGATTTGGGAAATATTATTTAAACTTCTGATATATATTTATTTAATGTATAATTGAATTTTTTTATTGTGTGCAAATTTATGGATGTATATTTTTCTTGGTATTTGTCCATTTGCCACGAATCAATTTTGTTAAATAAGAATAAAAATTTAGCTCCATTTAAAGTAAAACAAAAGTAATACTCACCGATTTCACTATCTTCATGCTCCAATGTTGAAATTCCCTCTGTCGTATGTTGTTTTTTCACAAAAGTGTTATATAAAAAGTTTTCCGACATGCTTTTAAAATATATATCCAGCACTTTTCCACAGATAGTTAGTTTTGCCAGTTGTTCACTAACTGTGTGCAAAATACAATGTCATACAAAATTCAAAAAATAATCAAATTTTTGAATTAAAGTAAATAAACTCAATTTCACAAATCATCTTTTTTTAGTTAAAATCAATAATAGGTCCAAAACGCGTATTCAATATACATATTTTTACGTTTTTGTTGTATATTAGTATTTTTGAGTTACAGTAACTTATATTCCAATATGAATTTCCATCATTAAAATGTCAACGATTGTTGAATATGATTCAAAATTTGAAAAATAGCGCATTCATCTCTATTCTTTCATTGGTTCAAAATTCAAATTCGATATTTTAGGTCATGGAAGGAATAGACGTCTATAATTTTCACGAGGAAGAGGCCATTTCAAAGTCAGAAGATAGAGGTGAGTAAACATTGTTTGCGTTATTATTACATTTTTTTAACGTATTAATGATGTTTTTTATATTGTTGTTTCGTTTAGTTTTTTTTTTTAAATCATTATGGCGAAAGGTCGGTGTCCAATTTGCCCACTGTCCGTGAACCAACGGTTGAAGACTGCGTTTTGTATAAAGATATACCTGTATATATGTATAAGGCGATAGAAACGTTTTGACATACAGAGTAAACATGCATGCAAATGATTTGATGGTCTTAATAGTTAAAAAAAAGTGCAGTCATTTAACGCTGCATACTTCAAAAATATTCTTCAGATGAATTTCCGTATTACGAATCTTCTAATAATGACTAAAAAGTGAGGTGTGTGTCACTGACTATTTGATGGTAGCCCCCAAAAAACAATTCGGACTTCAAAGGGTTGTTGCAAGGGTATTTTGGGAGCAGTGTTCTCGCCCATCTTTCTACAAGAGGAATAGGATTTTAAACGTCCTTGTTTTTCCTGGGCGTGTGTGCGTATTTACATTCAGCACTGTCGAACTGACTCCACACTTTGGAAAGGGTCTTGCTGTCAATCAGAAGAAGCGCAAACATTTGTCAAAAGCGTAATTAAGAATAGAAAGGGGAAATGTGTCCAAGACACAACAACCCGACCAAAGAGATGAAAACAGCCAAAGGCCACCAGTGGATCTTCAACACAACAAGAAAATACCGATGGCGGGCTTCAGCTGGCCCATAAACACAAATATGTACTAGTACACTGAAAATGACGTCTCACTAAACTCTGAAACATATAAATGAATTAAAATTAACATACATATTTCTATTATCCAGTCAGCCTTGGGAAACTCGTTCCAGAGTATACGATAACTAATTAAGCTCGAGATCTGCTCACATGTACAAATGTTCACTTTCTTGTTTAAACGATATCTATGCATAAAGACAAAAATGTTTATAACGTGCATATGCAAGAACTTGATGTCCAATGCTTTAAAAAATATATTTTGCCAAAAGACCCCTCCCTGTTTTTGTACTCCATTCAGAGTGGGAAAATATCATGAAATTTGATGAATGTCTGATTCTATAAGATAAAAACATCAAATAAAAAGGAGATATATGATGATATATATTATTCCAAATATATTAAATTCTCCTTTATTGAAGAGTGTTCTTTTGTTTATAAAATGATTCGACTATCAAAGTTTTATTCTTGAAAAATATATTTGTATGGCCAATGTGTGTGGAAATTAGCCTAGGTTTATCCATGTAAACGTAATAAATACTATATTTACTATTATATAGATAAGCAAATTTGCACATGTGCATATTAACATGATTGAGATGCATGTGTGCATTTTCATCATGTGGACGGGCATTTACCCAATTAGAAAACCCCGTAATCTTTGTGGTACATAAAACGTAAAAAAGTAGAAATTTGATTGAAACAGCCTAAGATTTATAAAGTCAATGAAGTTAGTGATTTATATAACAATGGTCAATTTCTTATAACTATCAAATATAAATCCATTTTCAATTAAATTGTTGGCCCTCATAGCGTGATGTCAAATACACATACCAAGTCTTATCAAGAATCACAGAAAGTGACTCGTCACCTGCCAGCAGGGGCCTGTTTATCGAAACTGTCCTAAGATCGGTCCTACGAATTTCTTAGGACAGAAATTAGGATAAAGTTAGGACCGACTTACGACATGTCTCAGCATGCACATCGAAGCTATCTTAGGATTATCTTAGCTAGGATGTCCTAACCGCTGTCCTAAGTATTGGCGTAAAAGAAAATAACAAATCGAAAATGAAAAAATGAAAATATTGTATCAAATTTAACCAATAACTATAATTTTAAAAAAAGATAAATAATGAGAAAATAATTATTAGTTTTAAATTAAAGGTGATAAATACTTTTTATATTTTAATGGTACATTTTAACTCATAAAACAAAACATAAGACAAAAAAATATAACTACGTTTTATATAAGAATTGAAACAAACGAATTATAAATATTTAAAATAAAATATATAATCGGTAAAATCATTATATGCTTTGAGTGAGCTGAATTCGAAGTGTCACGGTTTCATAGTTAAAAGTTCAAAGGCAAATCTCGTGCATCTTTCATAGAAATACTGAGTACTTCAACTATTTTATTACTGCAAATAACATGCGATGATACGTGTGAATATAAGAGACGAAATTCGAATTCTACCGATGCAAAACTACAGACTCTCTTGGACGACGTGGACAAGAGTAACCCTTTGCTTTTTGGTAAATTGCCAAATGTTGCAACAAGTGGTGCTGAAAAGAGGGATAGGAATTTAATATGCATTAAAGGAACTACCATTTGATTTTTAAGGGGGGGGGGGGGGGGGGGGGGGGGGGGGACTAGGATGAATTTTGAAAAAAGGCAGGACAGGAGTATGGAGTAAAAAAAAAGGCAGGATTGAGCAACTTTGCCAAAAAAAAGCAAGATGACAATTTATGTAAAAATAAGTCATGATAAACTAATTAAAAAAAAAAGGCAAGACCGAATAGAGTGAAAAATAAAAAGGAAAGACAAAGATTACAACAATGAAAAAAGAAGAACAACATTTTTCATCCTAGCCCCACCCCGTCATAAAAATCAAATGGTAGTTCCTTAAAGTAAATGCAACCAATATAGGCCATATTTGTTTATAAAATAACAATCCTAAATATATCATAAAGTTAGGACCATCCTAAGACCATCTTAAGACACCTAAATTGGTATCCTAAAGTTAGGACAATTCCTAGGATTTTCCTAAGTTACGACATGTTTGATAAACCCACTTAGGACTAAGATATGTCCTAAGTTGGTCTTAGGACAGGTCCTAATCCTAAGACTGCTTCGATAAACAGGCCCCTGGTTATCCAATCTTAAAATTTTAATCGGTACAAGGAGTATACAATTTGTACTGAAACACACTATCCAGTATTTTAATCGGTGGATTTTTGAGTCTGATTACGATAACCGTACTCGTAATATCAATGACTGTAAGAACTTGGTTCGCTCCTTAGCGTCGATTTTGTGTTTTTGTCAATATAGTGCTAGTTTTCCCTTCGAATTATGATGATCACTTTTGAAAGTTCTGTATATTTTTTTCATATTTTAAAGACTAGAACCAATGTTTCGATACTCTGAAGATGTCTTGATTATTGATTAATTTTTGTTTGCTTCAAGTCCAGTGGCAAATATTTCATAAACATTGAGATAAAAGATTTCAAAAGTATCTAATACTAGTAGATAGGCATACAGAAAACGTAAAATGGCACAGGAAAATGGTGTCATTATATAATTGTAATGCCTACTCAAATCCAATCCATTAGAAAACGAATTTTTACCACCATGAACTTGCACTGCACTATCATTAGAATAGTAGAATCGAATAATATATACAAATGGATGAAAATTATATAAACTAGTATTAATATAATATATAACAACAAACCAGAGTATACTGATAACAAATGATTGTATCACTTCAATGTAATAGTTATTTGGGTGAGGTTTAATTCCCTGTCATTTATTCATCATTCACACAGGTACTTGTCTCAGAAAAAAATAAATCTATGTACCTTAACCTAACTTTCAGGTATAGAGATGTGATTTTTTTTCTCAGACAAGTGCTTGAAACAATCCACCAGAACTTGCAGTCATCCGATGTTCAGTACTCCGATAAAGTGTGTGGTTCTTTTTTGAAATGTTGTATTTTTGTCATAGGGTCAAAGTGAAAATTTTTTAAAAATTTTATGAGAATTAAACAAAACAAATTAACTTTAGTCGTGTTTGGTAATACTTTGAATCTGTATTTTTTTATCTGAAATAAATTTTCTGAGATAGTCTGTTTCAAATCAGTGTATTTATTATACACTGAAATCGTCAAATTTGTTTATTTCTACCATTTTCTTTACCTATAATTATTCTTATGTCAGTGAATTATTTCATTTTTAAGTAATTTTATATCCGTGATGTTTTCCTTTCATTGTTGAATATATCTTTTTTTTTGTTGGTATTTGGTTCAATTTCAAAATTTTCTCCAATCAAAGTAACGATCGCAGACATCATGCATACCGTTGCCATTGTTGAGAGTCCTTAATGTCAAATTGAACAAACGACTGTCTAAAACAATATACATAATATTTTAGCATTTTTTCAAAAAGGAATAGGGTCCAGAATGAATTCGTGTGTTTTCTAAAATGTTTATTGAAATCTTTATTATTGTGGTATGAAGTCAAGGAATGTTCACGTATCTGATGCGGCAAAAAGTATTAAGATTTCAGAAATGGGTTATAGCACGGATTTGTATACTATACAAATCCTTGGTTATAGTTATCACCGTATAGATAACAATGTATTTTTATGCAATAAATTGAGCGCAGCCATTTGTGAATGGAACGGTAAAAAGAAATAAGAATATATATTTTTCTCCTGGAAAGCGTTATTACTATTTGTCCTCAAAAGTAAACTATTAAGGACCGTTTTTTTATAACTTTTGATCAAATTTAGGAAATTTTCTGAAAAACCTTCCCCATATTAACCAAGAGAAGTCATGGGACCCTATGTGCGGTAAAATCACAAATAAATATCGCGCTCCTCATTTGACAACAACAGTGTTCTGTATATTGTGTATACAATGCACACACATCCTTTAAATAATTTATTTCATTCGTAAGTATCAAGGAAATTCTTCCCATGTCGTGTACACGTATATTATGATAAATTTATGAAGGAAACCTTAAACCCGTGAGAATTGTCTTTACTCCCAATCCTATATTTTGATTATCATCTTTGTACCGTATTCAAAAGTTCAATGAAGAGCTATATATATAATCTGGGAACTGTTTATCTAACGTCAATATATATGTTCCTGGTATAATTTGGCATACTAGAAAACATGAGACGAACTTATTGATTCTAAATGGGGTGCTGAACTTAAATATGAATTATTTGCTTGCATATTGGTTGGGTTGTTAAATTAAGTATTTAAAACCGATGCAATTGTTTGAAATATTAGAGTGAGAATATTTTCAACTTGGATGATTTTACGTTTAACCGACAAAAGTTACGTGTTGACCACTTTGACAGGTCACTGCATACCAGTATATTTCTCAGGGGTGGTGTTCTCGAAAGTATCCTAAGATTCGTCCTAAGTCATATCTAAGACCAATTTTAGGATGGACTTAGGATCGTCTTAGGACACTCTTAAGTTGTGTCTCGAAGCTATCTCAGACGCATCTTATGTTAGGACGTCCTAAAAATATCCTAAGTACGAAATTTTGAATAGTTAAAGTAATTTTTTGATAAAACATTTATTAAAGACGACCCAATTAATAAAATTGTTTACGAAATTTTATAATAACATGTATTATTAAATGCATGATTTCAAATGTAATTATAAAATAATACCAAGAAGGATTGTAATTTAAACTTGATACAATGTGTTTTGAAATGAGAATTTGAAAATCGTATTGTCATCGTATCGTGAAACACGAAGTTCAAAGTTTAAAATCATGCACAATTTCTTTATATTCTAGTTAATAATCGATGGTGCGCTTCATTTCATGTTCCACTTCACGTAAAAAAGATTGCAAAAAAGCATGCACAAAGTGTGGATGAAGATAGGATGATCTTAGGACTCCTAATTAGGAAAAATGCGATATATCCTAAGTTAAGAGAGTTTCGAGAACACGACTTAGGACAAAGACTTGTCATAAGTTGTTCTTAGGACACGTCCTAGACCTAAGATAGCTTCGAGAACACCACTCCTGAACTCAAAGACAATTAAGAGTAAAGTATGAACGCGAAAACTATTTGTTATTAAATTGAGATAAAAGTACTATTAAAAACTATGACAAAATAAAAAATAAGATTAAGTAACAACATGCTAGCTATTGAACGTGGAAGGTATAATATTGAATTATTTGTAGATCTTACTGAACAATATTGTCATTTACACTTAATTTCTCTCGTTTATAATAATATTAAAGATAATACATAACCCAATACTGTAAAAAACAAACTATTTCGGGGCAGTAACCCAACAATAAGTTGTCCTATTGGTCTGAAGATTACTTGACAGGTAGATCTAAACCGGTTTAACACGTTCACCTATGTAAGTTTTGCTCTTTCTGCTCTTGTTTTTTTAAGCCAAACATTTCATTTGACACATATGCTCTATTTTTAGACACTCCCGCCATTTTTTTTGAATGATTTAAATCCCAGAATACAATCTATATACAAGTTATTCTAAGGAAATTCAATTAAAGTGTTTTTATTTGGCCAAGTAGTTTCAGAAAAGAAGATTTTTGAAAAAGTAATTAGACTTTCACAAAAAAATGTAAAAAAACGCGTTTTAAGGACAACAAATCCTCAAATGGTCAAGATTCCTTTATTAAAGATTTATTTGTCATTAATGTCAGCTGAAAAACATGACACTATTACTAAAGCCACCAGTAGTTTTAAATTCTTAAGTCAATTTACAATACAACTAAAAGTATTTGAAAATCATGTAAAGTGAAAGGCTACAAACAGTGACGATAATAATACTTTTGTTTAAATATTTGAACCTTTATATGGTTGATATATATGTACATTTAATGAATTTATCTCTTTCAGGAAAACATTTTACCATTCCCTTTACCTACCACTAGCATTGAAACTCCTCCTCCAGTAGAGAATACTGTAAGTGTTTTCAAAAGTATACAAATAGTTACAATCAAGTTGATGTTAATTTTTCAATGTTAAAGTGGTCAGATGAAGAAACTGTCATTTTTTTCCTGATGAGTCACAGGGTGATGGTCTCTAATTTTCTAGAAGAAGGTAGACCCTGTGTAATCATTGTATTAAACGTTGTATGATTGCCAATCAGACAAATACCCACTGTATACCAAAGTTAATGTAAACAAAAAAAATATATCGCTGTACATTCTATAACAATGAGTGAAACCAATCCCATAAGGTAATCTATAAAGGAACCTGACTTGACAAAATGTAAAACAATTTAAAGAAGAAAACAAACAACCTGTGTCAATTATGTCAGATCAGCCCTGCCCCAGTTGACAGACTGCTGATGTATGTAATGCTCTTGTACATCTACAAATTAAACCCATGGCTGTAATATGAAATTAAGGAGATGTGGTATGATTGCAAATGATCAACTATCAGTCTTAGACCAAATTTCATGGATGTTTATAAAAAATGTATTAAAGCTAATTTTATTTCATAATAAATAATTTATACATTCTTTTTTTTTAGATTGAGAACAAAAGCAATGACTGCTATGTAGTAGATTGGAATGGTAAAGTGTTTTTGTCCCTAAAGATGTCTGAAAAATCCTATATTTTTTGCAAGAGGCAAATTGGACAAATGACTGGAGACCAATTTATTTCCAATGAAAATAAAGACTCTTACGTTTTAAACAGAAAAGACATTCAAGGGGACCAAAAAGGTTTTATCATATGCTATATTAAATGCAATGTGAATGACAATAAAATTTGTTTGTTTAAACCAGCAACTTCACTAAAGGATGAAATACTAAATTATATGAAGGATGAAGGACCAACTGAAAACGATAAACATGATGACGAGGTTGATGATACGTCCAAATGAAATAAACTGTTTTATTATATGACTAAATTTTCTGTTTTCTAATTTGCTAAAAACATTAGAAATCCTCTTCGATAAATCATCATATTGAACGCGACAAAAATCATGAGAGGTTAATATAAGATTCGGAACAGTGTCTGTATACCTAAATATAGATTTTCAAAGGAAAAGTCAATGACGTAGGTTTATAACGTCATGTACAATCCCGTTGTTCTTTTTCTTCTTATTTTCTGGGCATTTTCTGCTGTTCTTTTTATTTTAGGTGTATTTCTCTATCAACTTTACTGAATATTTCAACTTACAAAATGTATAAAAAAAATTAACAATCATGAGATAGGAAATTTGTTTTTATAAAATGTATCCATCAGCGTTCTTGTGATAAAATCATTATTAACTGCATACATGCATTTTTGATAAGTGCAGTGCACCAAATAAAAAGTAACAAATGTAAAATAACTTGTTTATATTTATTTTGGTATTGAAATAATGTCATATACCGTTACCTTTTATAGATGCTGTAATGTACCAAATCTATTACTTATTGTATAAGTATGCAGGTTGATTATTGCCTTTATGAACCACTTATGTATTTGTATCTCATATTTGATGTGCTAGCTAAATAACTGGCAGCATACATATGCAAACAAATTTAGTCGTTGTAAAGCTTTTGTCTAAACATCTCTATATTGATAACAAAAATTTGCCTTTAGTCTATTATAAAATGTGTTTTGAATAACAACATACTATAATATACATTATGTATAACTCATATAGAGGAGTATTTTACTCAGAAGTGAACACATTTTTTGTAATGTGTTTATTATATGTGTTTCACTCATTGGTCATAATTAACTTCTCACAAATAAACCGAAATGCAATCTTTTAGTGTGTGTTTGTTGTGTAATGTTAATAAATTTAACAGCTAAATATTCTGATTCGTGCAGCTCTTGTAACAGAAATCTGATGAGCTTTTTTCAAAATGTATAAGATATCATAGCAAAAGAAAACCCATTGAATTTGATATTCATTTTCGAGACTGTGTTCTAAACAAAATAGGGGCCTCGGTGGCCGAGTGGTCTAAGTAGTTACTACTGTAATCACTAGCCAGTCAGCACTGAGGTTGTGAGTTTGAACCCCGCTCGTGCGGGTGCACTCGACTCCAATCTTAATTGACTAGGATTGTCAGTTTTCCTATCGAAGGTCTGTGGTTTTCTCCGGGCACTCCGGCTTCCTCCACCAATAAAAACTGGCCTCCACGAAATAGCCCAAAAGCGGTGCTTAAAAGTGGCGTTAAAACACCAAAATATCAAATATTTCTTAACAAAATACATATCTCATAAAGTACACGGTTGTAAACAAACTTCTGGTTAGTAAATAGTTGTCTCAAATAGAAAAATAAAATCATTACCTCAGATACGCATTATTCTTAACAAAACTCTGATATTGAGAATTCTTAGCTGGAAATCTGATAAGAAAATCGTTTCTTCAGATATATACCAATTTTACCAGAATTCTGATGAGCAAATTGTTTCCTCAGATAAATAGTACTCTTAACAGAATTCTGATAAGAAAATTGTTCCCTAAGATGATAGTATATTCTTAACATAATTTTGATAAGAAAACCGTTTCCGCAGATATATAGTATATTCTTAACAGAATTCTGATAAGAAAATATTTTCATCAGATAGATAGTTTTCTTAACAGAATTCTGATAAGAAAATTGATTTCTCAGATAGATTAAATTGTTAACAGAATTCTGATAAGAAAATTGCTTCCTTAGATGATAGTATATTCTAAACAGAATTCTGATAAGAAAATCGCTTCCGCAGATACATTCTATATAGTATATTCTTAACAGAATTCTGATAAGCAAATCGTTTCCTCAGATAGAGAATTCTTAACAGAATTCTGATAAGAAAATGGCTTCCTTATATGATAGTATATTCTAAACAGAATTCTGATAAGAACTTCGCTTACGCAGATATATAGTGTATTCTAAACAGAATTCTGATAAGCAAGTCGTTTCCTCAGATAGATATTATTCTTAACAGAATTCTGATAAGAAAATTGTTTCCTTAGATGATAGTATATTCTTAACATAATTCTGATAAGAAAATCGTTTCCGTAGATAAATAGTGTATTCTTAACAGAATTCTGATAAGAAAATATTTTCATCAGATAGATAATTTTCTTAACAGAATTCTGATAAGAAAATCGTTTTCTTAGATAGATAGTATTCTTAACAGAATTCTGATAAGAAAATATTTTCATCAGATAGATAATTTTCTTAACAGAATTCTGATAAGAAAATCGTTTTCTCAGATAGATAGTATTCTTAACAGAATTCTGATAAGAAAATTGTTTCCTTAGATGATAGTATATTCTTAACATAATTCTGATGAGAAAATCGTTTCCGTAGATAGATAGTATATTCTTAACATAATTCTGATAAGAAAATCGTTTCCGTAGATAGATAGTATATTCTTAACAGAATTCTGATAAGAAAATCGTTTTCTCAGATATATAGTATATTCTTAATAGAATTGTGATAAGAAAATCTTTCCCGCAGATAGATAGTACATTCTTAACAGAATTCTGATAAGAAAATTGCTTCCTTGGATGATAGTATATTCTAAACAGAATTCTGATAAAAAAAAATCGTTTCCGCAGATATATAGTATATGCGTAACAGAATTCTGATAAGAAAATTGTTTCCTTAGATCAAATAGATACTGATGATGCTGATATAAACAGTTTCTCTTTCGATAATTTTTTTAACAGAATTCTGTTAAGTCTTTAAAGTCTACAATCCGGGAATCATTCTAAAAAAAGTCGTGATAAATTGATACCTAGTTAGAAGATGTCTCATTCTTATCGTATCAAATCCGGAATTTGATCATATGGAAATAATCAGCTGCAAATGGAAGCTGTTAACAATGGTTGGTATCTCAAGGACAACAAACCTACTATTACCCTCATAACCAGTCAATAAGTGTATAATAGTTCTGTTATATTGACAAAATTGGTTGAGCAATTCCAACAGACAAAATAGGTTAGTGTGACAATAATTGGGATCCAGTAGCCAAAAATGTGTAAACATACATCACAAACATACAACACAACTGACTAAAAAATTCAAATAAACATACAAATAAATCTAATAAAGACGTCAACAAAAAACGTGAATAGATAGTAAATTTGACAATGACGTCAACAAAAATTTTTTGCCGTTGATAGTACATACCGTATATAATATACATATACTTTCTCGATAACGTAAAAGTTAAGTAAATATAGATACAAGGGTACACAAAATAGAAACAACAATGTAAAAACCCTTTGTGACCGAATCGCACCTCATGACCAACCTGCACCAGAAATGCAAAAAGTTAAAAAGTTAAAAAAAAAACGATGGTGGATTGCTTTAATACCGAATCACGTCAAAAGTGATACGAACAAAAGAAACATAACAGCACGAAGACAAATAACGGGAATCTTAACATTTTATATTAATCACACATAGAAATAATGGAAGTACTCAAAATACTCAACAAAATGGAATAAAGTAATATCATCTTTGGATTGTTTTTTTTTTTTAGAATATTCGAGCATTAATACTAAATAAATCTAAAATATTTATATCAATTTTTCAGATATTTAATGATCCCGTCAATGGACATACAGAAGTTCATCCTCTTTGTATCAAAATAATAGATACTCCGCAATTTCAGAGACTGAGGGATTTAAAACAATCGGGAACATGCTATTTTGTTTATCCTGGGGCAACTAACAATAGATTTGAACATTGTATTGGGTAAGCGACTGAGTCATAGAAAAACACATTGCATATAATCAAAATAATATACCTAAAATGCGTTGGAGCATAAAAAGCAGAACTAGAAAATGCAATAATAACCTTGTTCTTGAGATCGTGTTATCGTTATCTAGATATAAAAAGTAAAAATAACAAAAATACCGAACTCCTGGTAAAATTCAAAAACGGAAAGTCCCTTAACAAATGGCAAAATCAAAAGCTCAAACACATCAAACGAATGGAAAACAACTATATATTCCTGACTTGGTACAGGCATTTCTTTAAATAAAAAAAGATGGATTAAACCTGGTTTAATAGCTAGCTAAACCTCTCACTTGTATGACAGTCGCGTAAAAAACAACAGTCTAAGTTAAAACATATTTTACAAGATGTTTTATTTAGATGCCAAATGAGAATTACATGTTTTATAGACATGATAGAGTAAGGCTGTGGCAATTTTTTAATTTTCTAAAACATACTGTTCTTATTTCCTTTTTAAAGTAAAGATGTCTATGTTTACATATGTAAACATCAGAGGAACATCAAACATGACATTTCAACACTTACGGATTTTATTTCTTTGATTTATAGAATAAACATAATTATTAAAGAATCAAATAATGTTATTATTGAGGGGTAAAATAAAGGTTGTAATCATACCACCTTTGATAGGATACTTATTTTTCAGAGTATGTTATCTTGCTGGACAGCTGGTCCGCATGCTACAGAAGAGACAGCCAGAATTAAATATAACAAATAAAGATATTTTGTGTGTAGAAATTGCAGGCCTTTGTCATGACTTAGGTAAGACATATCTGATAATGTATTTTAGACTGAATTTGTTCGCAAATTGATTGTTTGATTGTTTTGATATTAGGATAGTGTGCCAGTAACTAAATATATGAGACGGATTTCAAATTTAACTGTTGAGTCTATATATTACTAATTGCCATAGCAAATAATATCCACAGTTGGGTTTAATGTTTTTTTATCCTTTGAGAAAAAAATGAATAAAAAAAATGCGCTTTTCTTAAATGACATTTTCCAGCTAAACACCAATGAATTAAAGTTGCCAAAAATAGCAATGAAATAATGAATGACAAACAGTTCTTTCATCAGTGATTTTTGAAAGTTTATTTCACTTGAAAAGAAAACAGTTTAAATGCCGCTAGACTTTTATCTCATTGAATTTGTTTTAAAAAACGCTCTTGGTTTTTTTTAAAGTGTGAAGCGGTGTTCATTTTATTCCATTTTCTTTATTGAATTATTTTACGTTTGTATTTTTGATGTGAAGCGAATTTTTAGTGAATCAAAATTTTCATAAATGTTTAATCACGTATAGATTTACAATTGTAGGTCATGGACCATTTTCACATCTATTTGATTCAAAATTTATACCAGCAGTAAGACCCACTTCAAAATGGAAGGTATCATATAGATAAATGTGCTACAAATGAGAAAAAATATATCGTATTTTTAGCTCACCTAGCCATGACATCACTTTAGCATCAGTCGTCGTCTCCAACGTCGTAAACTTTTTTAAAGATCTTTTGCTCTGAAAACACTGAACTAATTTCAACCAAAGTTAGTTGTTATTTCAACTAAAATATCAGACCACTCCTTGAGGAGATGTTGCCCTAAAAGTATTTTTTGGTTAATTTTCATGATTCTTTTCTAATATTTAAAAAAACTGTATAAGAAAGGTAGAAACAGTTGAAGGTATAAATGATCAGCAATAGATGATCCACAAAAATGCTTATATGACCGAATCTATTGAATGACTCCATAAGGACTTAATGCCCGTAACTGACGTTGTTTGACTATTTTTACTGTGTCTATCCATTATTTTGAAATGTTTTATAATAGATAGGTAGAAAGTGTTAACAGCAACATAATCAGAAATACAAAATTTACACAAAATGACCAAAACCATTGGATAACCCCTCAATATGTTTAAATCTTAAACGATGGCTAATTTTCGTGTCTGTCGTTTACTTTTGTAAAAATTCATAAAAATAAACAAATTCCGAACTAATGGCAACCAAACGTTGGAAAAATGATCCTTAGTGTGTCCAACGATTGTAAATGTTTTCCCAATACGTCAACAGACATGGCCAACATAGCTAAATATAGCGCATAGGGGTAAAACGTTTAAATTGTCTTATACCTTGAAAACGACAATAGATAGAGAAAAATATGGTAGGGTCAATCATGCTCAGAATGTCACGATCTACCTACATACTATTTTAATGAATAACCTGGTTGCATTGTATCAATCTATTATGGCAAAATTGCCACGTGAGCTATAGACGTGATAGAGGATCAAATCCTCCTCCTGTATCTTTCATTGTTTTCCTTCGCAAAACAATATTTATGTCTCATATAACGTTTCTAAAATCGACCTTTGTGACCATGCTTTCACAATGAAATATAGTAAATGCTGTAAGATATATTGTCAACAAATACGACACAAAAAGTAGTTTATCGATGTTCTGAACTAAATCTTTTTGGACTATAAAATCATTGAGAACAAAAACCCAATTGAATCTCATCTCATAACGGAGCGAGGCATGGAAGTATCGACAGGATTAACATCTCACAATATACCTGCATGAGCCGCCATGCGATCTACATATAGTAAAGACGCTACGATAGGGAATCATAATTAATCGGTTGATTTGTAGATAAGACCATATGCTATTACTAAATTTGAAAAGAAGAGATACTATACAAAGAATCTCTGTTTTCTAAGGTTTCATATTTTTTTTATATTTTTTTTCAAAGAGGTGACAAGTAAGAAATACCTGGTTGAATCAGATATGAATTGCCACTGCAAATAATACATGTATTTAAATTCTTTAACTGATAATGTAGTGTTTTACATTTGTCATTTCGGGGCATTTTATAGCTGACTATGCGGTATGGGCTTTGCGCATTGTTGAAGGCCGCACGGTGACCTATAGTTGTTAATTTCTGTGTCATTTGGTCTATTGTGGAGAGTTGTCTCATTGGTAATCATACCACATCTTCTTTTTATAACACTGGAAAAAATTATTAGTTCTATTTTCTGTCCAACATAGTTTCTTTTTCTCAAAATCAACATACCCGCCGTTCCTATAATACGAGGTATATAGATATGATTAGATAACGTTTTGAAATATCATACATTTATGTCCTTTTTAAGACAAAATGTTGTATCAACCAACTATCAACAAGCAGATTCACTTATGTTACAAAAACTTAATTTGGTCGTTATTTAATGCAGAAATATTACTAGAACATAACATTTAATGAAGAAATGTTTAAAAACATATAACGCGTACAAATATAATAAAACAGAAACCTGTATTGAATATTCTGCTGAGAAGCATTTGGGAGTAATAATCTTCCATCCAAGTTAAGAAATGTAATAATTAATAGCAGAAATAACTAACTTAACGTTACATTATATTGAAAGAAATCTAATTGATAAAATTAAAGAATAAACGAAAAAGTTGCCTTGATTATAACCCACCGACTCAAACTCCAATAAAACGGAAAAAAGATCAATTGCTATGAAAGTACAAGAAAACTCTGCTTTGCTAATGTCAAATTAAATTCATTATGAATGCTTTTCTACGATATATACTATTGTATGATAAATTTTAAATTTCAGCATGAAGATGCATCAGTAATGATGTTTGATTATTTGATTGAGAAACATAATCTTATGGGAGAATTTAAGAAATATGACTTGATAGATAAAGATATCAAATTCATCAAAGAACAGATTGAAGGACCTAAACAAAATAGGGAACAAACTGCAGGTCATCAGAAATATGAAAAACATATTGGAGGACTTAAAATAGAAGAGAGTGTAAGAATATCAGGATTCAATACCTTATTTCCTTTCTCTTTTGTTTTGCTTCGGAGATATTTTTCCATATTTTTGATACATTGTACTGATTGCAAGACAAATCTTTTATCAGCGAACATTATAGTGAGCTCATATTTCCATAAAGAACTAAAAATAAATAGCAAAACCATTAAAAAGAATAATGGGGAAATACTTATATGCTCCTTAATTGATTTTCTAAGATCTGTATAAAAAAATCAGAAAAACAATATCCGTATTTACATGCCAGTATATATCAACTGAGCTATCATGCTGGTGATATCCATGTAAATAACTAACTAATTTAATTCAACAATGATTGTTAACATGTTTTGTGTTTATAAACGTTTAAGGATAGAAATAGGTGTAACATCATTTAGGGGCTATTAATTTTCCTTTTTTTACATTTTGAAAGTGTGCATATTCAGTCTAAAGACGTCTGGCAAACAAAATGGGTATGAACTCATAGGAAGCTCCATAACAAAAAAAAACAACTATATGCCATGTTTACTTTGAAGCTTCTTAAACAAGCATTTACCAGAAAAGAAAGTTTACCTATACTACTGTAAAAAGTCAAAACAATGAGCTGGATGGCATATTTTTAGCCTGTATATGTCTCCAATTCTTAGAGTATAAGATAATACTTACATTTATTGTTTTAATTTCCTTGTAAAACACGTACTTCTGTATAAAAAAAAAATACTTCCGTAATGTTTAAAACGGTTAAGTTGCGATTGCTGTTATAGGTTTGGCCATACCATGGTAGAGATCAAAGTAAAGGCTTTTTATATGAGGTAAGTTTTGTATTACTTATAAAAAAGAAGATGTGGTATGATTGTCGATGAGACAACTCTCCACAAGAGACCAAATGACACAGAAATTAACAACTATAGGTCACCGTCCGGCCTTCAACAATGAGCAAAGTCCATACCGACCAGTCAGCTATAAAAGGCCCCGAAATGACAATGTAAAACAATTCAAACGAGAAAACTAACAGCCTAATTTATATACAAAAAACTGAACGAAAAACATATATGTTACACATAAACAAACGACAACCACTGAATTACAGGCTCCTGACTTGGGACAGGCACATACATACCGAATCAGAATGTTGCGGAGTTAAACATGTTAGCGGGATCCCAACCCTCTCCCTAACCTGGGACAGTGGTATAACAGTACAACATAAGAACGAACTATAAAAATCAGTTAACTCATTAGGTGGATAAAAATACAAATTATACAAATACAAGTCGACGTGGCCGGGTACTTGTACATCCAAACAACAAAAAGACACTTAGTACAGATCTGAGAGTACTCGCAGTTACTGACAGCTAGTTCAAAGCCACTAACAACTAATAAAAAAGATCATGCATTTAAGACTAAATTATCAATCCGTACACATCAAACATCCAATGGATTTAGAGTAAAGACGTCATAAACAGTCAGAGAAAAAACATGACCTTGTGCAATGCCAAGATACAGGTATCGACAGATCGTAGATCCATGAATGTGTATATGTATATAACAATAACATTTAGTTTGCTTTTAATTTACTGATAACAAAATCAATATTAGTTCCAATAAAAACAATATTTAATGATCTAATTACAGTGTTGAATTGGTAACCTTTTAGAATAAGTTTATTTAAAGGATCGATAAGTTTACCAGGATCGTTTCTAAATTTCCGGGCACGGTAAACAATATTGCCGTAAAAATGAGGATGTGCGATCCCGTTTGAAATAAGTTTTCTACAGGTACAACCAAACTTCAAAACCTAATCTTTATATCTGTGGAAGAATTTAGTAAAGGTTTTAAGTAATTTGTGGTAACAAAATCCCTGGCTTAATAATTTACCAGTAATACATAGATTACATTCGTTAAAATCAAAAACGTCACAACAGACACGGGCATAGCGAACGAGTTGTGAAATATAAACACAGTAAGATGGTGCCAAAGGAACATCACCATCTAAAAAGGGAAAAAAAGGGAAAATTAGCAATAGGGAACGAAAAATCATCCCTTTTGTCCTAATTTTTAGTGTTGAGTTTCCCTTGTAAAACCGAAATATCTAAAACTAGGAAAGGACAGTTGTTACCGTTTAAATTTGATTTATTTATAGTAAGTTCCTTTGGGTAAATTTCGGCAGTATATTGAGAAAATTATTGATTATTTAACGAAAAAATATCATCAAGATAACGGTAAGTGTTGTTGAATTTATCAGTTAAATGCAACTTAGAGTTTGGTCATAAACTGTGATTCATAACAGTACAAAACAAGTCTGCTATTAAAGGGGCACAATTAGTGCCCATAGGAATACCTACAACCTGTCGATAAACGTTGCTGCCGAAACGTACATAAATATTATCAAGGAGAAAATTAACAGCTTTAATCATCTCATCACACCTCCAGTAAGTATATCTAGCATATTTACCTTTCTCATTAGAGAAGAAGGCTTTAAATGAGTTGCAGCAAATATATCTGCATTCAGATTTACCAAACGACCATTTAATTAAATAGCCAAATTTTTGTTTGATAAGATTGTGTGGAAGTGTAGTGTAAGCATACTGTCCTCAAAACTATTTTTAAAAATGAAGACAGCAATCGATTCGCTATGCTTCTCTCGTCAAATTAATCATTCAAACTGGTAAACTACTGTTGCTTACTTCTATTGACACTAAATTTTCCAATTTTTTTTAAACGTGATCTGAATAATGTTGATTGTAAAACTGACATTAAACCATGGTCTTAATGTAAATCTATAATGCCTTTGATAATATGAATATAGCGTTTATTAGAATTGTCATGGTCTTGAAAAGTGATTGAGTGTGGATAGAGGTAAATTAGGAATTTTTATATAGCCCAATAATACATTACGTTTTGCTTATTTATCAACAGCTAATATTTCGATACCACTATTGATGAGCTGTTAATTTTTTGACGATCTCTATCTTAATATTTCAAAGACCATAAAGAGATATATTCAACAAAAATAAAACACAAAATATGAATAACAAATTTCAGAATATAGCCATTTATTTTAAAAAATGGAATGCACATATAGGCCTACACTAGCTATACTGCCAATATAAATCTTTTCAAACGATCATACCCTAAATATTTGGTGGTTGACTACACATTTTTAAATAATAGCTTTGACCTTGTTTGACGCCAAATATCTGTCTTATCTCGCAACCATTCCCAACTCTAATTTATCTAATTCGATATACATACAACATTGAAGAACCCCTTCTTAAACATTTGTCAAAAATGCTATGGTTTGACTCGATGGTATGTATAAAACAGTCCAATCCGATCTGATTGGTGTGAAAATTAGTCAGGATCAATACATTTATAAAGAACTCTGCTTTTGCTGAGGAAACGTTCATTTGTATTGACATGCCATCGCATACGGTCTTGTTGGGAACTTCCAAGGCATGTGTTGGAAAATGTCAAATTCTTCGTGCGTTAAATGACCATGATCCTTTATTTAAGTAAACTTATTAATTAGAATGGTAGCTTTTTGCATACAAAGAAAATGTTAGCAAATCAAGGCAGAAGAGCTGTTTTATTATAAATGTGAGTTTTACTTTCCCTATTGGACTCTTAGATATCTAATTATCTTAAATATGATAGTTCATGGTTGTTATTAAAATGACACTGGTTCGTTGACTATTTATTGTAAAAATGTATATTCAGTAAGCTGTATTGCTTTTGAACAAACTATTATGTTTATAAACTGTTTTGTATGAGCTTGAATGATTATTTCGTAGGTATAAAAAGGATCAAATCTGGACCCTAAATAAAACATTGTTCACAAGAAAAGTGCATATGTTCAAGTGCCAATTACTTATGATGACATAGAATCGTTCATCGTTTCAATGTTGTTCGCCGGAAAACATCTCCCGCTACATATCAACATTGCATTTTTTAATCAAACATCAAAACAAAATAAAAAGAATGTGTAATCTAATCCTTTGAATGATTGTAACCAAATCAATTTTATTACGTTTTTATGCATTGTTAAATATATTATTTCAAATATAAAGAAGGGGACCCAAAGATATGTTCGTTTTCAATAATTTAAAATTTTGAAAAGATTGTTCAATAGAATTTTTGCAACTAACAATCCATCTTATATGAACTATATGTTCTTAGTGCATGGGTTAAATTTCAGTTTTACAAGGTAGGAAATTCGTGTTTAATTATTTGTCTTACGGGACTTTCCGTTTTGAATTTTCCTTGGGGTTCGGTATTTTTGTCATTTTACTTTTTACAGGAAATGAACATTTATAATTGCTTACACCGAAGAACTGTCATCTTGATAACTTGAATAAAAACCGATGTATAAATACTTGAGGTGCTATATGACAAAAAAGATGCGTAAACGATTGTCCATCACCGTCTATGGCAAATTTCGACTGTGGGAGTTGGAATATTAATTTCGAAATTAAGAGATAACTGTAATGTATTTGAAGCTTTGTGGACGTCCATCGGTAGTGTTACTGTCGCAAATTTAGTTTACCTGGCGACGCGTAGCCGAGACAGGTAAACTGGTATTTGCGACAGTAACACTACCGATGGACGTCCGCAAAGCTTCAAATACAATACAGTTATCTCTATTTTAATGCAAAACAAGTACATAATTCAATTTCAATCATAATTTCAGTGCAAAATTCTCTTAAAAAAAAATTCCGCGAAAAGATGTTATCTTCTTTGGCCCCTTAAACTAGGTGTCTTCATAGGTAAGCTTCCGGCGTCAAACGTAAACACCGGGCGTTTTCTGGCATCTTGGACGCTTCAGAATGTAATAAAATTTGATAAAAAGAAGATTTCTAGGTGCAACATGTGAGTTTTTTTGCTTATTATTGTAAAAATTACATGTCAATACATTCCGCAATTCAAAATGTCGGCTTCCTTAGTTACAGACAACGACATAGAGAATTTTACGCTTACTGTCATTCAATCAGAACCATTGATACAAAATAATTGCATTAGAATATTTTTTATAATTTATCAAAGGACAATGCGGGAAATGTATGTTATAAATAATGTCAGTTGGGTAGCACGGACTACTAGTTAATGATTCTCGGAAATTAATAGTTCGTCAGCAGCGGTATCGACCATCCACTAAGTATATAAAAATGGTACCGATGTATTCGTTGTGTTTGAATCGCTTTCCTAAGTTAACGTCCATTAGGTACGCTCAAAACAAAAATGTATTGTTATTTCTGGTTGGATTGTTACAAGATTTCTATTTGAATTAAAAAAAGATGTTCCTTGAAATAAAATGAAATGAAAATGAATATATGACTTCAATTAGGTTTAAATAAAATCTGTATAATGTATTCACAAAGTAACCAGTTATCAAAACTATAGTCATATATGTATTTTTTTTGTTAACGATAATGCTATTATCAATTAATACATGTTAAAAGTGATAAGACGTTTTCAGATTATAGCAATAATTATTACTTTTTTCTTTGACATGGTCATAGTATTGTTTTACAGATAGTAGCCAACAAACGGAATGGTATTGATGTTGATAAATGGGATTACTTTGCAAGGGACTGTTATGGTTTAGGAATAAAAAATACGTTTGACCACAACAGATTCATGAAGTTTGCAAGAGTGTTAAAAGTAAAAGATGAATACCAGATCTGTTCCAGAGATAAGGTAAATGAAATTTTTAATATATCTAGCATTAGCAGGTGATAAAATGTGCTATTAACATTCCTTATACGTAATATATCACAGGTAAACAGGCATGTGGTCGAAACGTTGGACTTGAGATAATTATAATAACTTCACTTGTGTAATATAGAATGTCGAATTACTTCAGATAATTATAATAACTTCACTTGTGTAATATAGAATGTCGAATTACTTATTATTGCAAATATTACTTGTTACCGAATCGTTGGACTTAATTATGTGTGTTAATATGAATATTGATAGTTTCCTTGAGAATAAGAAAAGAATATCTCTCGAAGACAAGAAGAGTTTTATATGCATTATTTGGGTTTCGTTTTTACTGTTTCGAAGTGATATTTTTATTTTCATTTTTTTTTGCCAAGACATTATTCAAATCCAAACGAATATAACTCTTGTGCAGATTTAATTTGTCGTGGATTATACCAAATATGAATTCCATTGTGTCGCTGCATAAGCGTGAACCGTCTTGTTTTTTCATTGTCTAGCCATGATCGATTGCATAAATCATAATACAGACGAACCCAAGCACGAAGGGCTTTATCCACATAGAAAATGGTCTGTCATGACTTTTGAGGGTCGTCATTTATCTTACGAACATCAAATGTAATTGGTGCACTTCGATTTTCATCTCTTTAAAGTGTGATAGGAGAATTGTGTTTTTTATTTGGAATTAGGCCATTACCAGAATAGAATTCTAATTTATCAAAGTATTTTACAGCATGTTACTCTTTTTGTTAGATAGTTTGGAATAACATCTCTTGTTTTACAATTTATATTACCTTTGATTGTTAGAAATGGAATAATGTTTAAAACCTTGAACATGCTCGAATCATTCACATGATAACACATGTAATAAAGAACTTCAGTAACAACATTTTCAGACACTAACTGCCATTTCAAAATCAAAGATTCTACCTTATTTATAACTGCCATACAAGTGGGATATTCAGCTAGCTATTAAAGCAGGTTTAACGCACCAGTTTCTTGGGTGATTGATAGTGTTTTATTTTGTCAGTTTTTATGGACTTCCTGTCTTTGAATTTGCCTTGGAGTTCGATTTTATTGTTTTACTTTTTAACCTTTGTCGTGCGTTTACTTTTAGCTGCATTTTGTGGAAACAATGATAATTGGTAAAGAAACAACATATCAAATTTCAATAAAGCATAAATATAATATATTCTTATTTCGTTTTCCAACTCATTGTTCCAACATGTGATTTCAATGTTGTTCTCGTAGAAACATAAATCGGAAATTGCACGACGGATATCGTTCAAATAAAACTCTGACGAAGATTTAAAACAAAAACGAAATGGGTAATACACGAAGTTAGTCTAAGTTAAATTGTCAGAACATTTAGATAAACAACTGGCACAACAATGTTATTTAACCCTACAGTATGCTGTCAACCTAAATGTGTACGTGAAATTCTCACGGAAATACTTAGTTTAAGGGACAGAGTTTTAGGCGTAATAATTCGTTTTCAAGAGTAATTGCATTAAATCGTATACTTGAGGAGTGCAGTCTTTACTAGTTGAAATACTATATCTGGAAAGATTTTATTGAAATCAACTTCAATAATTACCACGCAGAATCAAATTAGATTTGACAGTATGCATGATGTAGCTGCAGTCGTTTATTAAAGATAATTTTATGAAATGTGCAAAAATATTTTGAAATTTTTGACAGTGCTTATGTCCATTTTTTGCTAGCAAAGGAGTTGAATTAAAGAAGATTTAGGACATGCCTCAATGAAACAGCAATGCAACGACAAAATAACAAAAATACATAAAGATGATAACCTACAATATTTGACAATAGATAAGTTTCTGTACAATATCAAGCTCAGAATCGTTCTGAGAAACGTTTTTTGACTTGCCACAAACACAAATTTCTTAATCGTTACGATATCTCCAAATAACAAAACATTAAGTATGACATAAGACAACAATTGAATTGGTTCAAAAATTTTGCGACGGGAACTTGAACATATGGAAGAAAGGGCGGGAGAAGTTTTTGTAAATGTCAATCCTCCCACTTTTTAATCTCGATCAATGGACCAACAAACCGAAAATTAAATAACATATTAACTGTAAAATCAGTTCACAAAGGCACTTAAGTCTGAAATAACTGTTACATAGGTGATAAAACACAAACTTTTTAAAATAAACAATTTAATACCGTATCGAAAAAGCGCGCGATCATTGAAACAAACCCTCTAAAATAACATTAAATGGTCATACACATAGAAAGGAAAGAAAATAAATAGATACGGTAACGTCATTTTGGAAAAACAAAACACACGGTGACACGAATAAACTGAAAAAAAATGTAGAAGAATTGCTAGCGCTGCCACTTATTATTTAGCAAAAACGCATAATCATAACATAAAGTCTATTTAACCATAGACAGATATTTGAAGGACAATTGCAACTTATTTATTTTTGAAGACCTTTGTTGTAAGGGGTAAACAACATAAATATTAGTTACAAATTTCAGTGAAAGCTTTCATTGTAAGACAATAAACGCACTTTAATGATGAAATATGACCGTATATTTAAACGTTGGTATTTGTTACATTGATATATCTAATGATTTGTTTCCTAGTAAAATTGATACTACAAAAATTATAAGATATCTTCATGATATTGTTCCAACGAAATCATACATTTGAAAAATCTACCTTTTTTTTTATAATTTTTAGTAACTGAGATAATTAGATAAATTTATGTACCGTGGATTCATAATTATTCGTTTGATACCAACTTATGTGGATTTTGTCTTTGTAGGAGAATCATGAATTTATATGTCCAACGAATTGCAAATTTTCTATAAAAATGTATTCAGACAATGGGGATAACCACTAAATCAAATATTCACGAAAACGCAAGTTTTCTTTAATCCACGAAAATTGGTGCACACAAAAAAAAAATGAATCCACAGTAATTGACTTATGAGAAATACATTTTCGTTATTGACAATCCAAGTTTTTGTCAAACTCTAACTTTAAATAAATGAAAAAATAACACAATATGCAATAAAAAAACCAATTTGTTAGAAAATGTTAAGATATATCATTTCAAGTTCATTGTAAAATAAGGTGATTAAAAAAATAAGAAATACCAAGGGAACAGGTACAACAATGTGTGTTTATTTCAGGAAGCAGAAACACTATACGGTATGTTTCAAATAAGAGCAACACTACATAGAAGAGCTTATCAGCATAGAGTTTGTGATGCTATCGAAGCCATGTAAGTTAATGAACAGTTAGATCTGATTTGTTTATATTTAGAAATATAACTCAAAATGTTATAAAAATCCTCACAAAGAAAACCCATATCAAGCTGTATCAAACATTATAATTTTTACTTATTAAAGGCATATTGAGGGACCAATTCAAGTCAAATTGATATGACTTCCTTTCTTAATTCACATTCATGAAAATAAAACACAAATACATGCTCTTTGTAGCACAGACATTATCTGTTGTCGGAGACCGCCTGTTGATTACTAGGAGCTTGATGTCGTAAATTGGGCTAATGTGTTGTTTTGTTGTTGTAACAACAACGAATCCCACACATTTTCGATTATTTATACTCAACATTATACAGATTTCCCGATCACTACCAGATTGTTAGATTGCCATACCATTAAATGAAACTTACGTAAGCGAAAGATTTTCCTTGGTCGTCTCTTTCAATGCATTTCAATCTGGATTAGATCCACCGGTTGAACGTGAATCTCTGTTTCCCTAGTTGTGCTTTAATGTTAAAATTTGCAAACTGCGGGTTTCTAGTAAATCTTGGAAAGGTTTACTATAGAAATATATAAGATATAAGAAAAAATTTAGTCTGTCTCCGATTTTTATAATAAGAAGCTATGTGCCTGCTATTTATTTCACCGATTGGATCATACTTATATTGTACTTAATGTTAAGAACTTACACCAGCTAAGCCATTGAAGTCACCAAAATACACATGGTTGCATAAAAACTACAAGTTAGAAACTTTTGTGACAAATATCTGCACCAGAGTTTATATTTACAACTTGACAGTATTGATCGTTTGCTATTTCACCCACGTTCATGTTTTGCATCTTATTCCTATATACATAAACAATAAATTTTTCAAATACATTGTATCAACAAATGGGATTAATTGTCCCAACGAGGTACACTTAGAACTACATATAGAGATATTTTGTCCAGTCATGACAACTTAAAATTCTTTTGCTTCGGAGCACTTGAGACCACCCGAGTTTTTCATTGTTTTTTGGACCTCAATCTTAGATTTTTTATGTTGTGTTTGTCTTCTGATCGTTTTTCGCTTTTTCAATGACATTGTCAGTTTGTTTTTCGACTCATGAGTTTGAATGTCTCGACGTAGCTTTCTCCTCTCTATTGGATCGTATGTAAGAACATCCATTAATTGAATTCATTCTTATGAAATCAACAATTCGGTGGTCTAACAAACAATTCTCAAGTTTTCGTAATGAAATGTTAGATTTGAATTTTTACAAATGGTCTCTTGATCTTGGTGCTAGCATTCTTTTTATTTTTTTTTATTTCTACTCGTTTTTAGAATATGGTAATATGAAATAATAATGCAAAATCTGAAGTAAAGTTATATAACACAAATTTTAAACATGAATTGTGTTTCTCTCTACTTTTATGTAAGTCAATCATGCATGTATGCGTGATTATCGATATATGTAACAGTGACAGCTTTTCACATTCTAAAGAAATCTTTTCTCTTTGCATTTTTTCAGGGTAACAGATGCATTTATTGCCGCAGACCATAAAGGTATCATTCCAGGGAAAGATGGGTATGTGATTTTAAACAGTTTTATTGCTGAAAAAAAAAATTAAAATAACACTTGTTAAATTTTATGCGTCCGAATCGCTTTTCTAAAATAACCTTAATTAGAAAAGCTCAATCCAAATATTTGAAATCCAAGGAAGTATGATTACCGAAACAAGGACTAAATGACGAAAAAGGACCTACAAATAATTGCCAAATCCATAAAAGCTCAATTTTGACTGAGGGAGTTGGAACCTTAGTTTCTTAATAATTTATAAATCTATAAACGGACAATGTAAAAAATGTTTGTTATGAATCATGTCAGTACCGAATCACTGACAACTGTGCTGATGTTACCCTCGGAGACTAATAGTTCACCAGCAGTGGTATCGACCAAATGCTATGAAAATGAAATAACTCTTTGTAAATTTTATGCATCAAATTAAACTAATTTTATGCATCAAATTAAACTAATCTTATGCATCAAATTAAAATAGATCCTTCAAGGTAAAGCAATTGGTCAATATTGAACTGTGCGAATAGAATTGTATCAATTGTACAAGGGAAATGAATCAATCTGATTAACATAAAGATCTTGTGTCGACGCGTTGCTTACTAGGATCTGACAACACTCTACTTTTTGTTCTGGTAATAATAACATCAGCTAATGAAATCGTTCCCTCAAATTTTTGGAGGTGTGAATTATATATCCCGATATGCCTTTAAGACATAATGTGCAACGGAGTGTTTACTAATATCCTTTAAGTGAAGCGTCGAATCACAATTTGTTTTAAGTGGATACACGATCGCAATGAAAATCCACTTGGAAATCAATTGAAAACGTTTTAGTTTATTTATTCGATGCTATTTGATCATACCAAATGAGGAGAATTGGTCGGTCTGAACGATTTGACAGAGGTAGAATAATTGTTTTGATGCAATGAATCAATTGAATCAATTTCGTCAAATGTAAAATTGAGAATGGAAATGGGGAATGTGTCAAAGAGACAACAAACCTACCAAAGAGCAGAAAACAGCCCAAGGACACCAATGGGTCTTTAACACATCGAAAATTTTCACGCTCCCGGAGGAGAGCTTCAGCTGGCCCCTAAACAAAAATGTGTACTGGTTCATTGAAATGCACGTCAAAATAAACTCCGAAACATATAAATGAACTAAAATAAAAAAAAAACACACAGAATAAACAAAGGCCAGATTTGGGACAGGCGCAAAAATGCAGCGTTGAGTAAAATAGTTTTGACAAAAAGATATGTTCTAGATTTCCACGTGTGTTATCCGGACTGAAGAAGTGTTTCGTTTATCATCATGCTATTATATCATATCATCATAAATTGATTTTTTAGATCGTTTAACATATGAAACAGCTCGTTTACGCCTTCTACTTGACCATATAGCTTCCTTAGTCAGGCGGTACTTTTCTTATCGACTAGGACTGTAACAAAATACATGATGTATCGTGGTATTTACATCTACTTGTTACAATATCCCTATTTCTGCAAATTGCGTGCTTTCTATACCCCTAGATTCGGTCTAGTAGTTATATGTAGGAGCGACAGATTCCGAATAACGAAAGCAAAATCAGCCTTTTTGGCGGAGTGGTCACTTTATATAGTGTATGCTAACTATATTAATATCTTAACCATGTTAAGCTTAATATAAAATATTAAACATTATTAAAAATATTTAATATTCAATTCTTTCGCTATTTAATTGTATAACAGGAATTTGAAGAAGTTATCTGAGTGCATTGACGATCCTGAAGCATATACAAATCTTTCCGACAGCATTTTCCATGTGATACTTATGTCTGTTGATAAAGGCCTTGAAAAGTCCAGAAAAATATTACAAAGAATCATGCATCGACAATTGTATGCTTGTGTTGGAGAAACTACCCCTACTGAAGGCGAAACATATGTAAGAAATATATTAAATAGTTATTAATTATGACAACAGGTGAATGCTACCTTTGAAATAATTCATTTATTAGTTTTAACTGTTCCTCATTTTCATCAAAATTGCATAAACGATGATGTTCACGTAGAATGCGAATCGTTATGACCACAAAGAATACACGCATGAATAAATATGCATGTAATTACGGATTCTTTTGAAAGTTATATTTAGAAAGAGATATTTTGATATAATCAGAGTGAAGCTGATTTTGTTCCATTTATCTAATTCACTTGTAACGACCTTAGTTCGAAAAATAGTACAACTTACCTCTTAAATGTATATAGTTTGAATACATCTTGAACTGTTACAAAACACATATTAATCATGTACCACCTTTTGAGAGGTAAAAAAACATTTTCAACATGTTCATTATCATTAATTTATATCTAAATAACAGTTAGGCTATTGCAATTCTGGAGGGAAAGAAAACAAATTTATTTAAAATATATTTAATTCTTTTATGTTGTTTAACTAATATGTAGATATTAGAAACACGAATATTTTGCCAAAAGATGGCTTTCCAGAAAGTTATTGGTGTTATCTATCTTTTGTATAATTTGAAATTCCTAAAATAACAGTTTTGGTCTAACAAGCCAATTTCAATATGCTTGTGGCATCACCATTAACAGCGTTCATGTGCAAGTTGAGTCTATTACCAAGGGCATTTAAATGTGCTCTTATTTAGTAGGCTATGAGCAAAATGATAGGTGCATACAGACTCATTTGGGTACAAAATTTACATTAAATAGTTATCAACGGTACCATAAAAACTTTGACTATTAGATTTTTGATAAACGTTGAAATAGAGACAAAAATTTAAAAAGCGGCCAAACAATTTGAAAACACGTATAATTCTAATGAAGTTAAGTTTATTTTGAACCTTTATCTAACATTGATAATTAACTTATATGAAAAAAATATCGATTATGATTAAAAAGTTTACAATTTTCTGTTTTCGTAAGTTAAGATTTCTTTTTGAAGGAAAAATCTTCACAAGTCATGTCAGAAATAATTTCAAATATACCTCCGGAGTCCAAAGGTGAACTACTTGAGGATGCCCTTTATGTTGATGTAAGTGGTTTTGATAATCAATGTTGAATGTATCAATGATACTCATTACTGTGCTTTTTTTCTATAAGTTCAAACATTGCCATTTGAGTTTCACTTTACCTATAAGGGTTTTTAAGTACTGTCCAAATACATATATCGTATTCGATGGGGATTATGTGCCTACGTTGTGGGCACATGTCATTCGTCAAAGAATAAGTAAACTTCTCCTCATTGTCGTTTTCAAAATGAAATTATTTTACAATCTTTTTACAGTTATTGAGTTATGTAACAATATGCGTAGAAATGTAAGGACCTATAAATGACAAATTGAAACCTCAATTAAGGATGGTCATAGGAACATCTTGAGAGTGTCTTATAATCTTAAATAAAGCTATAATAATTATAATCAAACGTGTAGGACGGGTCGGTGTATCTAATTATTTGTATTCTAAATTAAGGCGACAGTAGTTTGCCGATATTCAAATCTCTTAAATCGATTAGAAAGAAACAAATCAAAGTAACAATCAGAAACTGTGAAATCAAATGAACTCCGTAAAGACCGAGACCGGTTGCGTCGACAGGTTAAGATTATCCTGCTTTGCATGCATCACCCGCCGTGCGAATTCACATTAAGTAAGAATGTCACAATCGGGAATAGGACACAATATGTAAAACTAGAGATCAGACAACTATTCTGGTATTTCTATAGATCTAAGATTCCAAACATGTCGCTAATGAGATTGTAACACCGACAAATCGTATCAGTCAACCAATTATTATATTCAACTTTTATTGATCGAAATAATAACAAGAAGGGATTATTCTGATTTTACTTAATTGTTTAAAAAAATAAAAAATAGGACCTTACGTTCATTTGAGATTCATCACTTGTATACACGTATTTATTGAATCAATATGAAATGAGAAAAAAATCCACATGTTTCGGAAACAGAAATTCAAACTCTACTGTCTAAAGGAAACAACCAAAGAGGAATTTTAATGCCAATGCACCTATTTTAACTTAAGACATCATTAAGACACACATTAGGCTTATCTAAATGTTGAACAATTATTAGGACTTAAGTACCTTTGGAGGCTTTTGATAACCTGGCTTATGACTAATACATGTCCTAGTCCTAAGACAGCTTTGTTGATATGCACCTAGGTACGTTAGACATGTTTTTGTTGTTATTGTTTAATACTTTGCAGCTTGATGAAATCAGTTTAGACGTTTACACTTCATGTGTAACTGAAATAACACCTTATATTGAGGGAGAATATTTTGATTTTTGAACAAATATATATTTCACTGTAAACAGTCTCTAAACTTGAACAAGTAATCGATAAAGTTCTATGGCAAATGAAAATATCACTTAGTCATTTCGTGCGTCCGAAAAGCTTTTTTGTATTTACTTTCAGTGGGAAAGAACGGTTGAACCTAAACATTTGAAAGACAGACATGTAAACATATGCGTAGAAACGTGAGGACCTTTAAATGAAACCTCTAAAGAATAAGTTATATAATCATTCTTAACAAATTAATCTACGTATATCGTCGGTATGTTTCAATTACAAAATGAGTTCCTTAAATATGATTTCATATTCAAACCATAAATCACATGATCGTGTGTTCTTTTCTTTTCCAGTTAGTGTACCTTGATTACGGAAGCAAATCTAAAAACCCAATGACCAATGTCAGATTTTATAATAAACGAGATGTGACAAAACCAGTTCGTATAGATAAGAATCAGGTATGTACAAAGGCAAGCTCTTAAATAAGGTGTATGACATTTTACTATTTTAGTTGTATCTTGAATCATATACAATGTTCAGAAACCTTTGCCAAACTATTTAAGACCAAGCAGTTTCAAAAATCTGTTTTGAGTGTTTTGCTTGATTGATATAGAATTTTGAAAGATGTTACTATCATTGTGAATGTACTTATTCAAGCAAATCTTTCAGTTCTCAACAAATTTATATAGATAATGCAAATGAAGGGAATAGCGGAAAGACAAAAATTGGTTGTAAGACATGCTTTGTTGTACGCGTAAGTTTATTTTTTTGAAGGACACAAATTAAAGTATTTTAAAACTGTTTTTAATGTATATTAATTTAGTTACAATAAAACAAATCAAATATTCGCAACTAATGAAATCATATGTTATAAACAATGAATACAACACATTATAAATTTCATGCGATCAAAGCCCTTTTCTGGATTTACCTTCATCAGGAAAACCCAATGCCGAATATTTGAAAGCTCACTTTATAAGAACTGAAACCGTTGGAGAGTTATATGACTAAAAACATCAAAAAAAAGCCTACAAATAAAAACGAAATCTATCTAAGACAAACTTTAGTTTCTTAGTAATTTCTAAATTTATAAACGGACAATTTTAGAAAGGTTTGTTATAAATCATGTCAGTACCAACGTAATGACTACTAAGCTGATGATACCCTCGCGATCGGGGACTGATAGTTCACCTGCAGCGATATCGACCTAGTTCGGTAAAAATGAAAACAACACTTTAAAAAGTCCATGCGTCCGAAGCGTTTTTCTAGATTTATTTAAATATAGGTGTATATGTTTTGAATGCAATTAAATAGTTTTTAAATATTTTCATATGGCAAAACTTATAAAATTAAAATAATAATTATGCCGTAACGTAACAGTTGTATATTTTCCACTTCACAGGTATCGCTTATGTTGCCAAATGTGTTTTCAGAACAAATTGTTAGGCTATATTGCAAGAAAAATGACAGCGAGAGCTTGAAGATAGCCAGTGATTGTTTTAAGAAATGGTGTCAAGATAATAACCTTCTCTTACAGTAAGAAAAAATTTATAGAAATTAAAATCTGTCAAATGTATGTCGGTTTTTAGTTTTAAATGAAGGTTTTTTTTTCGTAATTTGAATATCATCCCTATACTATATTCCGTAGTGCCTAGTTTATCTTTAAGTAGGTTCCTTAATTTTTTGTGATAAACGATTCTTGATACACACAATTAATCATATCTTGAGTTTGAATTCATGATTTAACACAAAACACGTGAAAGGAATGAACAAAATCAGGATGATAAACAATAACTAAAAAAATAATCTACAAAATGAATACAATAATGATATTTTTGCGCGCGACACGTGTCTCTGATAGAATAACTTTCGTCAGGTAAACTATAAAATTGAGAATGCAAATGGGGAATATGTCAAAGAGACAAGAATCAAACCAAAGAACTGTATTCTCCAAGAAAAACGAGAAAACAAAAGAGAAGCGAAAACAGAAATACAGATAATAGATCATTACAGGCAAAACCAATAAGAACCGCCGTTATCGTGTAAAGTCGACATTATATAAGTATTAAATGATTTATATGTAGCCTCAGAGAGTGTATATTTTATGTTTTGCAGGATCAAGGTGCCAGAAGTAGTACGGTAAACATGGTAAAGAATGAATGACCATTAGAACTGACAATTGAAAACGGATTTGTCAAACTCAAGATTAACATTTGTTTTTGTCACTCAAAGTTCATGTTTTATTTATCTTACACGCAGTACTGAAATATCTAAATTGTTTACTCTACATTGTACATTATAGTAAATCTGGTCTACTCTTATTTTTCTAACCTGCAAAAAGCGTGTACTGGAGGGCTGCGTGACAAGAAAACAATAAAATATCAAAAATCGACAGGACAATATAATTGTCGATGTGATTAATATACATAAAAAATGTATAAGACATTCGAACGCTTATCATTGATATATGTTCAAAATTCAAAGATGTCGGTAGTTGGTGGTTGTTTATCAATTTTTGTTTTGTAAATTTGTTAACTCTGTGTATGTACTGTCTCTTAGTTTTATAACGTCAAATACTTTACTGCTTATACATTCCATGGAAACTGACATTTGCAATTCAAAATGTCGTTGACCTGTTCTCTGCACACATTAGATAGTGTTGTAATGATATAAGTACGATAACGCAATTTTAAGATACTTTTTATTTGAATATTTTGTGACTTTCTTTACGTTGAAAGTAGATGTTTTTTCCCCAAACATGTAGTCTCATTTCTGCAAAAATTTAATAATCGATATTGGACTATATTAAAAAGTATGCTTTCACGATTCCTTTCATGTCATCCATATTCGGATAAAAGGTACTTTGCATGATTTGTAAAGAAATTTGTTGTTCTAAAACTTTGGAAAACTTTTTTAATTCAGGAATGATCACCCTCGTGCAAAGCTCTGATTTCTTGTCCGGGTTTCCTTACATTCGGTTCTTGTTGTTTTTATCTACTCTTGAAAATCTGCATTTTAGACTTCTAATCTTCGAAAATTTTGGCCTCAAGCATCATCAGTTAGTTTTCGATATAGGCATCTGGTGTGGCAAAACTGTAACGTTAACGTCGAAAAGACGCACAGGCTATTTCAAGGCCCAGTTTTGACAAATTAAAAGACAATGTTCTCAAACAAATTTAATCTTAAAACGTCATAAGCAGTATGAGAGAGTATGACCTTGTAGAATGCCTAAATATGAGTATCGAGAGGATGTAAGATCATTATTAACTGAATGTTTACTTGTCATACAATAAAGAAAAAAGAAACAATATTATCAATCTGAATAAAAATATTTAAACGAATTGGATGATGACTTTCATTGACTCTCAGATGAAGTTGATGTGGAGGGTCGAAACAAACTAAACGAATATGACCAGACGCATTTAACTTTGTGAAAGACTATGATAAAATCGTCAAAACAAAAAGTAAAATCACAAAAATACCGAACTCCGAGGAAAATTCAAAACGGAAAGTCCCTAATCATATGGCAAAATCAAAAGCTCAAACACATCAAACGAATGGATAACAACTGTCACATTCCTGACTTGGTACAGGCATTCTTTTATGTAGAAAATGGTGGATTAAACCTGGCTTTATAGCTAGCTGAACCTCTCACTTGTATGACAATCGCATAAAATTCCATTATATTGACAACGATGTGTGAACAAATCAAACAGACCTATTTAGTCTATATAATGTTAAAATAGGACAACAGTCAACATTGTGTTATAATCTTAATCACTATAAAAACAAACAAATATGTAACAAAGAAATACAAAAAGGCATATAGACAAAGCACATAAGCAAAAAGGAAAGTCAAGAATACAAAAAATTTACCATAGCACAATGTAAAGAAAACTTTATGCCAAAGTATCAAACTAGGAGAGTTTGTGTTCATAGTTCATTACAACATTTTTGACATGATAATCAATAATTATGTATTAAACTTGACAAGTAATATTACTCGCTGTAAGAAATAAAAAAAACAAAAAACAAAAAACGAAATGCAATTTTCCAAACAAAGTCTTCATTACCTTCTTATTGAAATTAAGAAACAGAGTTTTCATTCGTCAAATAACGTTTGATGTTAAGAACTATCAAATGTTTATTAAACATGTTAAACAAGGAAACTTACCTTGAAAGGCATTTTTAGATTCCAACTCACCATGTTGACCATTTTTTCTTTTCTTCGAAAAGTTTGAGCTTTACATCTATTGCGCCCTTTATTTTCTTCAATAAGCTTCGATTCAGTGTTGTTGTTGCTTAGCGTCCATTGACAAAGATTTCATGCATGTTCAGAACGAGAACACATTAAAAAAATACCTGGTCCAGAGGCCGTCTAGTACGAAGGTCGGGAGTGGAAAATGAGATTTATTAGATCAGGACAGAAGTTGTGCCTTGCAACAGGCCACTGACGGACCCATCAAAGAGTTGTTGGAATGGGTTCTTAACGTGCAGAGAATGTGGCACTCTCTTTACACGAGGCATTGGAGTTAACATTCCTATTATGACCGGACGTGGCTGCTTACTTGTAAATCTCACATAGCCAAACGTACGCCCCACGTTGACAAAGATTTTACTGCCGGTAAACTGACCTAATTGACCATATTTCTATTCCATAGTGATACGTAGGAAGGAAATATTTTTAAACACGACCTCAGCAGTGTTTGCTAGTTTGTTACTTTGGCATTATTTTTCTTTACATTGTCAATGATTGTACTCAACGTTTGTTGCAAATAATATTGTTACATGGAACATTTTAAGGTCAGTCGAAATCCTTTAATAGAGGAAAGATATGCAATCTATGATACAAAGAAAGGTAAAATAATTCACAGCATAGCATAGAGTTCACCTTAGCATGTCGAATAAAACCAGTGTGAAATATTGTAAAATGTTCTTGCATGGTAAGCAGTTCACGCTGTAGTAGAGACACTTCTCGTATAATGATAGGTAAAAGTAAAATTTAATAAAACAACATTTCACAATAGCTATCGATATAATAAAACAAATGCATGTTCCTTTGACCTTGCATTCAAAACATACTTGTGATGTTGTTTTTTGAGTCATTCAGTTTACCAATATTGTTGCTCCAAGCTGTTTTTTCTTGATTGATTTGATAGTGCGTTTATAAATTTCTCTTAGGGTTTGAGTAAAGACAGAAAAAAACGAGGCTTCCAAATGTAGAAAAATTTAGTTCATTGCAAATTGGAAGAACTGAAGAAAACAATTTTTTTATTTTGGCTTTTGCATAAACGTTTAAAAAGAAACATTTTCGAAAAATAAAAAAAATACATAAAAGAATTCAAATTTATCTAAAGTTAACTTATTAAAATTAAATAATATTTACTTCTATATGTTAATGATGGCAACATTTGAGTACTGGCAATATTTAGTTTTTACGAAGTTTTCGTCAAAACGAGAAATTACTTCTCATTGTTGTTTCCATAACGGAATTATTCTGCATATCTTTCTTATGGTAACTGAGATATGGTCAGACATATCATTGTACGATGATGTGCATTACCAACTGGCAAATCATTTTCGGCAACGTATCTCACAATTAATTTATTGCAGACATATGTCCCTTCAAGTTTGTACCTATTTTGATCCAAACGAAGTAGTTTGATTAATTTCCTAGTTAACTATCGAATGTAACAAACCATACACGTTCAAACAAACGTATTTTTAATTGTGATTGTCTTCTTATTCATGTTTTGCTCTCTATATTCCGATTTACCTCTCATAAAGTTTGTTAAGATTTGATGCAAATCCCTACGTTATCTTAAATATTAAAGAATTTGGTTGGCTTTACTGGTGATCTTAATTCCTTTGTATTTACACAGAAAAAGTTTTCTCTATAACAACCAAAACATTTGTATTGTTTGATTTCGAAAAAAAAACTCATTTTTTTCTAATTCAACGCTATATCATATCAATAAACAGGTTTACGAATCACGTCTCTCAATATGTTCAGGGAGTTACGAAACAATATTTAAGGGAGGCATTTTAATCTAAACAATTATTTCAAAATATACAAAAGTTTGACATACAGTTTACATTCAAACAGGACAATTCGTACGATTATCATAGATGTCGTAACGATTCGGCCAAAACATATTTATGTACACCATCGTTTTATTTAATTTTAATACAGTTGTTTGTAGGTTAGGTAATTGCATGATTAATATATAAGTTTAGTCGGGGTAAATTAAAGGAAAGTGTAAACATATATTATTTTTGTGTATTATATAAGACCATTGTTGAACAAAAATGGGCTAACATTTTTAAATATAGTTATCTGGCTATCAACTTTTGGACAACTGAGACAACAGCGCTGTTAAACAACACAATCCTAAAGAAACAAGATAAGGTGTGATCGTATAACAGCATTTCTTTTCTAAAACATGATTAACTAATACAATAGAAATAGGAAGATGTGGTATGAGTGCAAATAAGACTCTACATCCAAGTCACAAGGTGTAAACAGTAATCAATTATAGGTCAAAGTACGGCCTTCAACACAGAGCCTTGGCTCACACTGAACAGCAAGATATAGAGGGCCAAAAAATGACTAGACTGTAAAACAATTCAAACAGGAAAACCAACGGTCTAATCTATATGAAAAACGAGAATCGAGAACCACATCAACAAAGAACAACCACTGAACAGGCTCCTGACTTAAAACAGGTGCATACAATTGCAGCGTGTTTAAACGTTTTAATAGGCGCCAACCTTTACCCTAACCTGGAACAGTCGAAGATTCATTAAACTTGAGTACTATTGGAAACCTTCTTTTGTTATTGTTGTTTCATGTCTTGCTGCTTGATACACTCAGTTTAAAGTTTTCACTGGCACTGTAACTGTAAATACTACTTATTTAAATGTAGGATGAAAGTAATATGCAAGTTGAAATCAATCATTCATTGCAAACAGTCTCTAAATGTGAACAAATAATCGATGAAGTTGTGTGGCTAATGCAAACAGCACTTTATAAATTTCGTGTTCCGAAGCGCTTTTTAAACCTAAACATTTGGAAGGCAACACTACAACAATATACGTAGAAACATGACCAATAACGAACCCATAATGGCTATGTTCGTTCATTCATTCAGTTTTAGTTGTTTTTGGTACATCTTCAGTATGTTTTAATTACAAAATCATGTCCTTGATTATAATTTCATATCAAAATTATAGAATGATGATCTTAAATGTTTTCCTTTTCCAGTTAGTTTACCTTGATTACGGAAGCAAATCTAAAAGCCCCATGTCCAATTTCAGTTTTTTTTTATAAGAGAGATGTGACAAAACCAGTTTGTATAGACAAGAAGCAGATATGTTCAAAGGAAAGCTCTTAAAAAGTTGTATGACATTTAAGAACATTTGTTGTACATATTGTATCTCTTATTTGATACAATATTCAAAATATTTTCAAAAACTGTTCAAGAATGAGCATTTTAAAAAATCTTGTTTGAATGGTTTGCTTAATGGATTTAGAATCTTGAAAGATTTTACTACTATTGTTAAGCTACTTATACCAACAAATTTTCTCAATGTTTTGCAGATTAATATGGATAATTCAAATAAAGGGAATACCGAAAACAAATAGTTGTTGTAAGACATACCCTTTAGGTGTTTTATTTTTGAATGACGCTATGTTAAAGTATTATCTGTTTCAATTTATACTAATTTAGTTACAATATTTCAAATCAAAGAGTCGCAATTAATGAAATCAAAGTTTGATTAAAAATCTTACATAAACAATTTATTTGTTCTATTCCAACTTGACATACTCTTTTGTTTGTTTGTTTGAAATTATATTATAAAAGTAAGAGTATATGTTTTTTGAATGAAACCTTTTTTTTTTCAAATATTTTATTATGACAACACTTAAAGATTTAAATAAAAGGTTTGCATTTTTTTTAAGTTAAAGTTATACATTTTCCATTTCGTAGGTATCGCTTATGTTGCCAAATGTGTTTCCAAAGCAAATCGTTAGACTTTATTGCAAGAGGAATGACAGAGAAAGCTTAAAGATAGCCAGTCATTGTTCTAAGAAATGGTATGAAGATAATAACCTTCTCTTACAGTAGGCAAAACTTAATAAAACTAAAGTGCTTAGTTTTCAATTAATTTTTGTTTTCTAATTTCAATGTTACTATGATACCTTCCGTCTGTTTTATAGTGGCTAGATGATCTATAAATGGTTTTCCTATTTTTTCATTGTAAATGATTCATACACACAATTACCGATATCTTTAGTTTGAATTTATCAATTAGGACAAAACATGTATTAAAACATAAT